TGCTGCTGCGAGAACTGCTGCTGGTGCTGTTGCCAGTGCCATTGCCACCGCTGCTGCTGGTGGCGCCTGGAGCACAGCGGAGGAGGGGCGTATATGGGAGCTGCGAGCAAAGCAGCTAGAAAAGGCCGTGGAGCGATGGAAGGAGTTTGAAGCAGCAGCTAGGCGGGAGGCCAAGTCCCGGAGAGAGGAGCTGGAGCTGAATAGCAGGCTGCTGGCTGATGCTGTTAGCCTGAATGATGAGAATGAGGTGACTCTGAAACGGTTGAGGGATGAGGTGTTAGCTCTGAGGGAGAAGCTAGAGGGTGTGGAGGCAGCGAGAGAGAAGGAGAGGAGAGGAGGGGGGGTGGGGAGTGGAGGGGGAGAGGGGGTGGAGGAGGGGGTGGAGCTGGGGCGGTTGAGGGAGGAGGTGAAGGGGCTGCGGGCGAAGCTGCGGGTTGCTGAGATGGAGTGGGAGAGTGAGAGGGCGCAGAAGGGGCGGGCGGAAGAGGCACTAGCGAAGTACAGGAGGAAGCTGAGTGAGAGAGAGGAGGAGCTTCATGATGCCTTGGATAGGCTCTCTGCTGCTGCTGCTGCTGCTGCTGCTGGTGCGGGTGGTGGTAGTTCTGGTGCTGTTGCTGGTGTTGGTGGTGTTGGTGTTTCCAGGGAGGATTCTGCAGCAGCTGCTGCTTTACAAGACAGGGTGTTTGCTCTTGAAAGGTGCGTGACCCCTGCTGGAGCTGCATCCCTGACTCTTATTTGTAAGAACGTGACTTTTGAGGTGCGTCAAAAGTTGTAAGAACGTGACAAGAGCCAAGTGCTAATCCGCCGGTGCTGCAGCATACAGACCAGCTTTTTGCTGCCACTTTTGCCGTTGGATCATGCCCCCGCTGAATCATCTCCCTCTTTCTCTCTCTCCCTCTCTCTCTCCCCCCCTCTCTCGTCCTCTCTCTCGCCCGTCATCTCTTTCTATTACAGGGAGAAAACAGACCTTCTGTTTCAGCTGGAGCAGCAGCAACACGCGGACCGCCTTATGGCTGCCTCTAGCCTCACCCCTGCTCGATCCACCCTTCTGTTGCAAACACCTGCTAAAACACCTGCGATTGCACCTGCTAAGGCTGGTTTTACAGCTGCGACAGGCCCCACTATTGCAGCAGCAGCTGTTAACACACCTGCTACTGCAGCCGCAACAGCCGCCACAGCCGCCACAGTCACCTTTGGTGCCAAACCGAAATCGCCTCTTGCTTTCGGAGCTAATGCAGGAACCCCCATGGCTTTCAGTGCTCAAGCCAAGTCGCCCACCCCGTTCAGAACCCACGGTGCCTCTCCTGCGCCTTTCAGAACCCAAGGTGCGGGGGGTGCCTCTCCTGCAGATACGGGAGGTGGGATCAAGTCCCCCTGGCGGCGCCGGGCGGCTGAGAAGGTTCCTGGAACTTCCCCTTGGAGGAGGAATCTGCAGGGGGTGGGTGCGGGGTTGGCGATGACCTTGGCAGGTGTTGGGAGTGGGGGAGGTGGGGAGGGAGGGAGCATGGATGAAAAGGAGGAGGGAAAGAAGCAGGAGACGAGAGTGGGGTTGGAGGAGGGGCAGAAGCAGGAGGAGGTTGGGAAGGGTGAGGAGGAGGAGAATGGCATGCAGAAAGGGGAGGAGCGAGAGATGGGGGAGCAGGAGACTGAAACGCCAGAGAAGAATCCGAAGCAGGAGCAAGCACAGCAGGAGCAAGCACACGGGGAGGAGAGCGGTAGCGGTGACCTTGTGATGGTGAGATGTGCGTCACTCTCCCCCTCGCCCTCCCAGAACATCATCCCGGCCAACTCTCTCCAGAAAGCCAGCTCAGAAAAGCATTTGCATCGGAGCAGGAGGCAAGCAGAGGGGCCGGATAACAAAAAGGGAGGGGGCGAGGTTGGGAGTGGTGGTGCGGGGGTAGGGAGGGATGGGAGCGGGAGTGTGGAGAGGAAGGGGGGAGGTGGTAGGGAGGTGGATGGTGGAGGGGATGATGGGTCGCCTTCTAAGCGCGTGCGGCTGTCCATGCTGAGATGAAACTGTGGAGGGGAGATGAAACTGTAGGGTGAGTGAGTTGAAACTGTGCAGGTACAGGCTGGTTCAGGGTCATGTGGTGTTTGTTAGGCTTGGGTTGGGATATTCCAACCCTGCTACTTTGCACAGCAGAGTAGTGTATCTTGTTTGAGGTTAGAATGTAGACACAATACCTGACTAGCCGATTTGTCGAATCAGATCCTTTCTGATTCATATACGGGTATAGTGTTTTTAGTGTGAAAGCTGTGTACCGTATACATGTCGAGATTGTGTTTCGCGTGTTATGGTAGCCCGTATGTTATGAGTTTTACTAGACAGAGTGCGCGGAAGACTTCTATAAAGAGAATGAATTACAGAATGATCAAGAATGGTAAAGGAGCACGCATTTACAGGGTCGAAACTGTGCTAGGCGAGGATCTCGGGACGTGGATGGATTGGATGTGTCGCGATTGGTGCGGGGCGACTCGGTAGTGGTTCGGTCCGAAATGTAGGCCGAGCCACCTGACGCAAAGTGCTCGGGCTGTCCTCGCTAGGAGCAGCCTCTACAGTAATGAATTGTGTATTCATTACACTCTCCCACCTTCTAAATAAGGTCCCCTTATCCGTAGACGAGTCGTGCAGTAGCGTGAAAACTGCAGATCTCCGTTGAAAACGGATCTGACGGTGCAGAATGCGTTGACCGCAGAGGTGACGCGAGGCTCAGTGCGTTGACCAGGCGAGTTTCAAAGAGTTGGAATGTCAGCCGTTGATACTGCAGAAGTCGATCGGGCAGTTCAGATCGAGAAGTCGAGTTGAATTCTTCGATGAATGAAAACCGTCGACAGTCAAGATGAATTCGCTAGTGGCGGGAATTCTGACGCGTTGTCAGAGGCCGATGAATTGGGACCCGTCGATGTCGATAGTTTAATCGCGAGCGTCCGCCGTGTTGGATGTGTTAAACAGAACTGTCAGAAAATACTGAAGCTCCCTGCGGAATTCGGTCGACGGAACCGAATTGCCAGGGTCGACGAGGGGGGTCGTCGGAGAGGGGTCTGACGAGGCGGGCAACTGACACGCGTGCGGGCCCGCCAGCCTGGCCCAGGGCTGGGCCGAGCGCACGACCGCCGCCCCGCAACCCCACCCCGAAAGTGAACAGCGTCCCACGTTACCGGGTGGGGTCGGCGAAGTGGCGACCCACTCGAGCGAGGGGGAGTTACCCTCGCGCGAAGGCAGCCCTCCCGTCCCCGCTGCCCGCGAAGTCCTAGTGACCCTCGCGATCTGACCGGACGGGCAAGCGAGGGCCATGCGAAATTCGGGTGCTCCCCTCGGGACGCTCGACAATTTCGCGACCCGTCGGGGTGACGCCACGTGCTCGCCCGTCGTTTCGCATCGTATGCATGCGAAATTTTGTCCCCGCCGAAAATCGAGCGAAATTTGGGTCGCTCGCACCGGGCCGCACGGTTTTCGCGACCCGCTACGAAATCGACACGTGGTGCCGAAACGTCGCACCGCGCGCATGCGAACTTGAGTCCCCTGGCCGACCGAGGCCAGGGGACGTGACGTCGACCTGTTGGCTCGGCGGCCAGGGTGCACTTGTGCCACGCCACTTGAATCATGAGCCCTGCCGAGCCAGGCACCACGACCCCCCTGGGCGACGCTCAACCGGGCCTGCGAGGCTCCGCCTGGCTTTTCTCTGTTGGAGGTGGACTGGGCCTTCATTTTCGCATTCTCGTTTCTCTTTCTTAGTTTTTTCCCAGCTCTGCGCCTTCCGTACTCCCACCGTTTCTTCCCTTAGCCTGTAGCATTCTCGCTCTCCCGCCATGGCGGCAGACCCGAAAGCCGCCGAAGCGGCGCCGACCTCGCGCGACTTCCCCCTGTATCTAAACGTCGGTAGAGGACTTACAGCCAAGTTCGAGGAACACGACTACGCCGTTCTGACAAACCCTATGCTAGAGTTTAACGCCCGTTGCTTGGGACTCGGCCTCAAGTGAGTGTCTTATGGGGATATCGGCGTCGTCAAGTTTATTTCATGTTGGTCTAGCCTTAGCGGGGATTCAAGCGACCCGTCGTTTAGGTCGACGGACTCATGGTTTAGGGTTCAGGGAAGTCGATCACATCGGTGTCGCCGACGTTAGGTGTTTGGTCGGCGTCGTCGATGCGTTGTGCCATAGTCATTCGGATCTCGTCGCTTCACCGCTCCGTCGTGCTATTGCCGCAACAGTAGTATCCGCCGTCGTCCCGAGCACCTACTCACGCACTCCTCCTAACCATGCATGCGTGCAGGCACGCTTGGTTGCGCGGAACGGATGAAAACGAGCGGCTGTGGTTGATAGGAGTCGGCCGTCTTCGGGCGGCGATGGGTCAGGGCAACCACACATGCTTTGCGTCGGTTTTTGACGCCGACGTGGCGGTTATCCCACTGACATCGAGGTGAGCTGGTTCGGGGTCGTCCCGCTTGTGCTGCAACCTGTGTCGGTGATCTGTTCTGAGCTATGTCGACGTGCCTTGTCTGTGCAGCATCGCACCGCTTCCAGGATCACATTGCAGCGTCGTTGTCATCCTGTGCCCCGGCGACTTGTTGAAGGCATCGGGCCAGAAGATCAGGACCTCTATCCGGCACGCTGACCCGCAGACGGTGAAGGAGTGGCACATGAAAGAGGCGAAACACGTGCTGGAGTAAGCTCCATAGTGTAGTCGACGCCGCATGCGTAGTCAAATTGCGGAGCGTGCACCATGCCAACTGACCGTCTGTGCCATGCTTATGCAGGTTTTTCCGGGCGGCTGTTATGGCCGAGCTTCGGCGCGAAGGTAGGAAATGGGAGTGGGCGAAGCCGTCCGAGGAGGAGGTGCATGCGAGGCTCGCCGTCTGCGACGCACCCCTTCGAGATGTGAGTTTCCAACGTTTTTGTTAATATATGGTGTCACATCCTTGCGCGATGCAACTGCCGATCCGTTCTTGCGCGACGCGACTGCCGATCGCGGTGCTGATTTTTGCGCTCGCCTTTGTTGTATGCAGAAAGTGCCCGACACCGTCCGGGACGGGGACGCGGGCTCCGGCCTGCTAGCAATGAGCGCGTTGCTCTGGGTTGTGAGGCGGTTCGATCTCCTGACCGGCGCCCACCGTCGCAGTGTCACCAGCATGGACAAGGTGTATGTTACGAGGATGAAGGGGCTGCGGACTGAGATGGTAACCTTCATTAAGAAGCAAGTCGCGCTCATACGGTCGGGCCGAAACGTAGTTGCGGCCGACGCCTGTGACGACGACGGCGAGGAGGTTCCTTTGGCATCCCAAGCAGTAGGTGTCGCCCCCACCGTCACTGATGCGAGTGGCACGTCGATCGGAAAGCCGGGAGGCGGCGTCGACGAGGACGAAGCGGCGGCAGGAAAGGGTGTGACCGGGACCGATGAGAGGCAGCAGGACGAGGTTGGCCATGAGGATGATGATCGGGTCCATGATCGTGAGGAGGAGGGGGGCTCGGAGGAGTCGACGTCGGAGTCGGAGTCGGGGTCGGAGGAGGAGCAGGAGGCTCAGGATCAGGAGGAGCAGCAGGGGAAGCAGCACGAGGAGGAGCAGCTAGAGGGGGAGCTGGAGGTGGAGGTGGAGGACGTGGAAATGGAGGATTACGGGGCTGAAGGAGCGGAGGAAACGGGAGAGAGAGCGGCGGAGGTCGAGCACGAGAAGGGGGAGGGGAAGGGTGCCTCAGCGGAGCTCCGAATGGAGAAAGAGGAGGTCGGCGTGGAGGCGGCTCACGGGGGGAGTGGGATGGTCGTGGTCGGCGATGGGACGGACGTTGTCGACCACGAGGCCGTTGGACATGGGGATATCGCCGCGGCCACGAAGCAGACGGGCGTGGAAGTGCCTACCGATGCCACCGCAGAGAAGGCCGGGGGGGAGCGGTCTAGGAAGAAGAAGTCGGCGAGCGGTCATCCCGGATCCACCGCAGCTGGGCGGCAGGCGCGGCTGGACGTCGTCAAGCAGCTGAGAGGGGAGAACATGCGATTGCATGCCGACAATGCACGCCTTGAACGGCAGCTCGGTGAGCAGACGGGGCAGGTCGACGCGTTGGCGGCGGCCGTAGCTGGGCTCTTCGACAAGCTGAAATTTTTGACCGCCCAGGTCGCCGAAACCGACCGGAAATCGGTGGAGCGCCTCAAAGAGGCCACGTCGACCATGGCGACCACAATCACCGAGGGCCTCACCGACAACATGGACAGCGCAATTCAAGCGGGCAAGTCCTTTGCCGAGCTAGCGAGGCAGATGCTGCTGGATCTCGACGACCCCGAAGGACGAATGGCGGTCGCACGCGCGACCGCGGTGGACACTTTGGTCGAGCACGTGACGGCTGAGGTGGGTGAGGCGAGGAAGGGGTTGGAGGAGACGGTCATTAAATACATCAGCGCTGCGCAGACCAACATTGCCGCCGCCGTCTCTCCCCGCCTCGTCGTTCAGCAGCCGCCGCCGACCGCCCCAGCACAGGCCTTGTCGGCCGAGTTCCTGAAGTCCTTCAAGGAGGATGTGCTGAAGGCGGTGACGGAGACCACGCAGCAGTCCTTTCTCGCCTCCGGATTGAAGATAATGACCGAGGTGGTCGGCACGGTGGCGACTACTCGGCGTGGGTCGTCGCCGTCGGCAAACGACGCCGACCAAGCGCAACCTATGGAGGCCAAGAAGCAGGGTCAGAAGAGGGGGGGCGACGGAGACGATTCGGCGAACATGAAGCGGAGCAAGGGAGCCGGGGGGTCTCGCGTCGCCGGCGACGGGAGCAAGGGGGCCGGAGAAGGTGGCGTCGGGGGGGGAGACGGAGACGATTCGGCGAGTGTGAGGCGGAGCAAGGGAGCGGGGGGGTCTCGTGTCGCCAGCGAAGGGAGCAAGGGAGCCGGTGAAGGCAGTTCGGGGAAGCAGTCGGGGAAGAGCGTGGTCCACATCCTCAAGAAGCACTGGGCTACTGTTTCATCGCCCAGCACGGGCCATGGTGGTGGGGGTCCCGCCGACGAGCATGCCGCTGATGACGCACGGCCAAGGGCTCCACCTGTGGTGGCCGAGAAGCCGCCACGACAGGGTAGCGGAGAGAAAGGGCTGAGCGGCAAGGAAAAGGCCGCCGCCAAAACGGCCCCAGGCGGTTCCGCGAAAACTGGCCAGGGGCCGACTGCCGGGGTAGCGGAGGCGTCAGCGATTCCTCACCAGCCTCCCGCGGGTGCACGCCCTCCGACCGGACCGTCTGCCGGGCGACCTGCCGACGTCCCGCGCCATGCCGACGTCCCGTCTGCCGACAAGGTTGTCCGCGCGGAGAAAGTGGCGGCAGTTGCTGACGCGCTAAAGGAGCAGCTGAGGCTCCTTGCCGGCCACAAGGCTCCTCAACAGCCTCCTCCCGCTGTTGACGTTTCATCGGCCGGTGTGCCACGTGTAGTGCCGGTCATCGCCGCTCGTACTCCTGCAGACCCAAAGTCCGCGTTCCTGCGCGCCCAGTTGGGCGCACTAGCGTCGACTGCGCCAACTCAGAAGGCATCCGGCTCTGGCGCTACGCCGTCGTCGGCGAATGTCGCACCACCCACCCCTGCGGCAGCTGAGGTTGAGAAAGCGGCGGAGAAGGGCGTTCGTACCGCAATTGCCACCGGCGGAGGCCCTGTTGAGGAGGTCCCCCCCGACGCGGATATCACTGCCATACAGGCCCATCTGGATGCCGCCAAACCCCGAACACTGGCCATCTCCGACACGACACATGTGGAGCCTTCGGCGGGTCCCGTCGGCAGTTCAGTAGAGCCTAGTGCGATCGGTGATGCTGCCGGTGAAGGAAAGGCGAAACGGAAGGGGAAGGCGGGCTCACAGAGGAAGACGCGGGAGAGGTCGGAGGTGAAGGCGGCGGATAGAGGGAAGGCGAAGGCGGCGGATAGAGGGAAGGCGAAGGCGGCAGAGACGGCGGCGGACAAAGATGGTGGCGGCAATACGGGGATGAAAGGGAAAGCGGGGGAGCATCAGGAGAAGTCGCTCGGCGAGGGTACGTCAACGGGGAGGAAGGGGAAGGACAAGTCGGTCGGAGAAGGTACGTCGACGGGGAGAATGGGGAAGGAGAAGGCGGTCGGCGATGCTTTGTCGAAGGGGAGAAAGGGAAAGAAGAAGGCGGAGGAGGATGAGGAGGTCGAGGAGGTGGAGGAGGTAGAGCATGAGGAGGAGGAAGAGGAGGAAGAGGAGGAGGAGGAGGAGGAGGAGGAGGAGGAGGAGGAGGAGGAGGAGGAGGAGGAGGAGGAGGAGGAAGAAAAGGGCAAGGAGAGGAGGGGTCATGGCATCCGACACGACAGCTCGGGCGACGGGCAAAGGTGGGTCGGCGAGCTTAAGGTGCACGGCATCAATCGATACATCGGCTAGTCGCGTGACAAGATGGAGCTCGCGTACGTGCACTCCATCGCGTACGTCGTCTACGACGGTTTCGTGAGCAAGGTGCTCATGTCTGAGCTCACCGTCTTGGACAGCGCCGAATTGGGGAGGTGGAAGGAGGTGTGGGAGGAGGTCAAGATCTTGCCGACAGGGATGTGGACGGTGATGTGGGCCCGGGGTACGCTCCTTCCAAAGACACGGTAAGTCGGTTAACCTCTGCCCCCAAGTCGACATACTGTGACGATGTCGTTGTCGTGGTCACTAATGTTCGCCCTGTTTGTTGTGCTGGCGTGACAGGCTGAACGATATCCTCGACAAGTATCGTCATTACAAGGCCTCAGGTGATGCTCTCCATGCCGCGCTCCTGCCAGCGATATGGTACCCAGTCGATGCCAACACCGAGGATGGCCAGAAGAAGTCGGCGTCTATGATGTCGGCGATGATAGGTCGCGTGTCCATGTGCGCTGCGAACGCGGCGAAGAAGGAGGGAGACAAGGAGGAGAAGACGGATATGGCGGCATGGGCGTTAGCAGCGTCCGCATGCGCTGTGTGGTGCTTCGTCGAGAACGGCGATGCCCAGGTGGCGGATGCTGTGGAGGAAGGGAAGGCGGCGGCGCTTGTGTGCGGAGCAAGCCAGGCGACCGCCGATGTATTCGGAACTGTCATGGAGGCGGTGCTGAACGTCGCGATCAACAGGGACCGCCCCCTGGGAGAGGTTGCGTACAACGTCGCGCCAGCGCTGCAGAGGCACGCCCTTGACAAGGTCTACCCGGGGGGGAATGCTGGCGTCGATGCCGACGTGGTCGCTAGAGCCACGGTCGAGACCATGGCGTTCTGGGGAATGTGCCCCGTCGCCGGGCCGAAACTCAAAGCGAAGGATATCGCGGTGCCGTGCGACGCGCAGATGAAGGCCGACCTTGACAACAGGGGGAGGAAGGGTCAGAGGGGCAAGAAGGGGACGAAGGCCAAGGGCGGCACGGGGAAGAAGGGGACGAAGGCCAAGGACAGCGCGGGGAAGAAGGGCCAGAAGGGGACGAAGGCCAAGGACAGCACGGCGGCGTAGTCGGCGGGCTTCTGGAGCGACAAAGGTTGCCGTCTTGCTAGGATTCATTGCTGCTAGGATTTGATTCTGCTATGGTCGATGTCGTTTTCAGTGTGTCGGCTGTCGGATCGCTGAGATGCTCGTTTTTTTTGTGTTTCTTTTGTGTGACTGCTTGTCGACTTTAAGTAGGATGTGATTGGATCGATTTGTCGACTTGCAAAGGTTGTGAAACCCATTAGCTTGTCGACTACACGTGGGTTGTGATTGCGGACATCAAGTCGACAAATTAATCAGTATAAAACCTATGCAATCTGCGTCAACAAGCTCTACAACATGCAACATCCCACAGCAACAGCTTGAAACCTTTGCGTGCTGAACCATTTACGCGGTCTTCTTGCGCTTGGCCGATTGCTTGGTTGGAGGCAGCTGCCCGGCGTCGTTCTCGCGGGCCATGTCGGCCAACGTCACCTTCATCTGCTCCTCCCAGGTGTCAGGGAACAGGTCGGCGACCCACTTTTCCGGCTTGAACCCGCGCGCCACGAACGCACAGGCTACACGAAGCTTGGAAACCTGACCTTTGCCGAGCCCCTTGACGCCCTTACCCGGACCGGCAAAAGTCGCGACTGTGTCGGCGTTGAGCACCGTTAGGGCATCCGAGAAGGTCCCAATGCCAGGCGCCGCTATCTTGTTAAGCGCGTCGACCACCTCCTCCGTGTCGGCTTCGCCGTCGCTCAGGCGAAGATGGCGCACCGCATCGATGACCTTCATCATGTGGCGCACCGCATCGATGACCTTCATCATGCGGCGCACCCTCTTCCCGAGTGCTCCCTGCGAGGCACCGTCAAGGAGGGTGTGGCGGTCGACGAAACCCGGCTCGGTGAACCTCTCGCACAGACGACGGGTGTCGCCGCTGGTGCACGAGGTCCAGAGGCGCCACGCGTCCCTCACGGTCGTTGCATTCCGCCAAGGCTGCACCACGTTGAGCTCGTAGCTAGCCTCCTCGACCGTCTGTGGGGGTTTAGGGGGTTTCTTGGCTCCGTCACCCTTGCTTGCCGAGTCTGCGGAGCCACCGTCGCTCGGCGACTGCTCGTTCGCAGCTGGCGGCGCCTCCGGCATCCTACGGGTTTCTGAAACGCGGAGAGCCTCGGTGAGGCGGGTTATCTCGGCCGTCAGCGACGCGATGGTTGCGTCGCGCATGTCGATCTTCTCCTCGAGGTCGATCTTCTCGACCGCTGACCGCTCCCTCTCGAGCTTAAGCGTCTCTGTGAGGGAGACGACCGCGTACTTGGCGTCATGGCGGAGCAATATCTCCTGCAATGGTAGGCGAATAACGTTGCAGGTGAGTGGTTGTAGCGGTCACAGTGCACATGGCGACGTCGATATGCATAATAACTTACCTCTGGCTGGATGAGGGTTGGGTCTTGCCGCTTTTTTATGGTCTCGGTGCCGGTTTTCTCGACCCTCTTCGCCCAGTGCTGGAAGAGGGGAATCCGGCAGAGCTTGGAGTACTGGACGTACGGGTGCCAAGGGGTGCGGACGAGTTTTACAGCGAGGTCCTCGGCGACAATGCGGCGAAACATCAGGAGGGTACGCCAGAAATGCACGGCGGCAATGTCGGCGTCGGACCCCTTCTTAGCGAGCTCTTCCGCCTGCAATTAGACAACGGAAGTGGGTGATTACCGCCGGTCGGAAGGACGATACCATGCGAGGCGTGGTCGGCACCGACAAAAATACCTTCTTAAGGAGGTCGTCCACGCCGGGGAATATGTGCTCGGCGATGAGATCCAGGAGTTCGGGCGTGGGTTCCACCCTGCTGCGACCCAAGAAGTAGTCCTGCGTGAAACCAGAATAGCCGGCATTCTTCATCACCACGCCGACGGGAATGGCTGTGATGTAGGCTCGAGTCATCTTGTCGCGACCCAGCTCGGCTATCTCGGTGCGAGACGTACCGCCGATGGCCAGCTCCTGCGCCCCGCCAGCCCGAGCGGCATGGACGTTCCGCTTGCAGAACACCCCGTTCGTCTTCCACATCTGCCTCATCCATCGCTGGTGGCTGGGAGCTGGGAGTTCGTGCTGCTCGGGGTCGTTGCGGGCGAAGAAAAGGTGCTTCTTGTACCAGCGCTCGCGTGTGCTGGTGTCGACCGGCGGAGTGAGGTCGACGCCGTGAAACTGGCCGATCTGGTCGAGGATGAAGTGTAACCACAGGCCGGTCTCGCCGACGGCGCACAACTCCGCCTCGAGGTGCCGCGCCGCGTAGCTCTGCTGAAGACGCGCATCCTTCGATGTCTTCGAGTTCCGAGCGGCTACGACCATGACGACCGGCTGGTTTTCCGGGTTCACCGAAGAGGTGCTCGCCAGTCGGTACAAGAAGATGTCGGGGAGCGTTATCTCGCAGATGCTTGCACCGCGCATGAGGCTGTGGTGGGAGAGCAGCGTGAGCACCTTGACGAGAAGAAACCTCCACAGCGTCTGCGAAGGAGTGGTAAACCGCGGGCACCATGCCGACGCCGCCCAAGCCGGCAGCACCCTCGTCATGATCTGGCGGAACTGTTCGGCGGTGTACGTGTCGCCGATGGTGCCACGTCGACGGTCGGCGCAATCACTGTCGACAGAACAACATAGGGATCCGATTATAAGGGCGAGGACCACAAATCGATAGCGACAGAACTCGCCGCTGTATGCCAACTTACTTGATGTCCCTCTGATTCTTGGTGCGGACCATGACCCGCACCTCCGAGCGGACCACCGAGATTTCCCGCATGATGCCCAACTCCTTCTCCTTGTAGAGCGTCGCCTCCACCCTCGCCGCCATCTGGCAGGCCTTGATACGGCCGAGGATCATGTGCACCGTGTAGGCTTGCACTGTCAAACATTATATATGTTTCTGTTGTGTAGGCTACAGTGGGTTAGCCTTTAGGGGGTACATTTCACTAGGGTTTCCTACTTGTACTCCAACAACTTTCTAGTTCATCACTTCTTGATTCTGACATGGTATTAAGAGCTTAGGTTCTAGACCTAAGGGCCCACCGTTCCGCTAGAGGTGCCCTCGTGCGCCCCTTTTTTTTTTTTTTTTTTTTTTTTTTAGCGCCCTCGTGCGCCTTTCCCCTAGTGCGCCCTCGTGCGCTCTCCTCTCACGCTGCCCGTGTGCAGCCCGCTAGCAGCCCGAGCGCGGCCCCGCCGTTTTAGCACGCGTAGGAAATTCGCCGCCTAGGGCGGCCCGATTTTTTCTCGCGAGCCCCAGCAGGCCGTCGCCCGTAGGCCCCGCTCGCCCCTAGGCCGACGCGCGACCCACAGCCGCCCGCCCGCAGGTCGCAGCCAGCGCGCCGCGGCGATCGCGCGTCGGCTGCTGCAGCTAGCGCTTAGCCGCCGCTCGAACGCAGCCGCGGCCCGTGCGCAGCCGCACCCTAGGCGCCGCCGCGCACCGAGCATAGGCCGCCATACCTACCCGAGCCGCGCCGCCCGAGTCGTGCCGCCCGAGTCGCGCCGCCCGAGTCGCGCCGCCCTGACCGAGCCGCGCCGCCCTACCTGCAGCAACTGCTCTTCCTGCTCCTACTGCTACTACTGTTGCTCCTGCCAGTGCTGCTACTGCTACTACTGCTCCTGCTACTGCTACTACTGCTACTGCCACTATGGCCAGTCCCACTGTTCTCACCTTTGACGCCGAGGGCCGCCCGATTAAGTTCGATGTCTGGCTTGATGACCTTCACCTGTACCTCCAGATCACTGCCAAGGACGATGTCTCCCTCTATGACCACACGTCCGGCGCTGCTCCCGCACCTGTTGCTACTGCTGACAGTACTGCTCGCTCACAGTGGCAGACTCGTGACGCCCATGCTCGCCTAGCCGTTCGCAGCCACCTGCCGTTAGATGAGCGCGAGCACTTCGGCCAGCATAAGACCGCTAAGGAGCTGTATGACGCTGTAGTTGCCCGCTACTCCTCCCCTGCCACTGCTGCGATAGGGTGTCTCTCACTGCCCTACCTCTTCCCCGATCTGTCTGCCTTTGCCACTGTAGCTGACCTCATCATTCACCTCCGTACTAGTGATCTCCGCTACCGTGCCGCACCCCCCCCCCGATTTCCTAGCCAAGAACCCCCCCCCCCCCCCCCCGATGTACCTCACCCTCTACCACCTGGTCACTCGCCTCCCTGACTCTCTTCGCGCTGTCAGGGACCACTTTCTCGCTCTCTCCCCCACAGACCTCACTGTCGACCTGCTCGAGAAGGAACTCCTTGCAGCTGAGAAGAGCATTGTAGCTGTAGGTGCCTCTCGTGGCGACCCTCGCACTCCCTTCTTTGAGGGATGTTCCCCCTCCCCCCATCTCCCCTCCATTGCATCTGCTGCTGCTGTCGACTACCTCGGTGCTGAGGGGGTCGGAGCTGCGTTCGCTCCCAGTGGGAGGCGCAGGGGCGGCAGGGGCAAGGGGGGCCGGGGTGGAAGAGGCGGCGGCGGGGGAGGTGGTGGTGGAGGGGGTGGAGGGGGCGGCGGCGGTGGCGGCAGTGGTGGGAGTGGTGCTGGTGGTGGGGGGGGCAGTGGCGGAGCCGGGGGTGCTGGAGGCGGCGGTGGTGGAGGTGGAGGCGGTGGTGGTGGCAGTGGTGGCGGCAGTGGAGCTGGTGGAGGGCGCGGTGGAGCGGTGCAGCGTGGCGGGTTCGGCGGCGGCCAGAGGCAGCAGCAGCAGCGCCCCAGCGAGCCCCCGTCGCCCCAGCAGCTCCGTGAGTGGTACTCTCAGCGTGGGGGGTCTGGGGATGGAGGTACCTGCCCGTACGTCATCCGCACAGGTGACCGCACTGGCCAGACTTGTGGGAAGTTTCACACGGCGCAGCGCTGTTTCTTTCGCCTCGACGACGCCTGGCGCGAGCAGTTCCCTGACGCCTCTGAGCTGCCCCGCTGGGCTGATCTGCTTAGGAAGGGGATTGATATCTTTGCTCTTGATTACGATGCTATCCTTGCTGCTATGTATGCATTGACTATTAGTGTTGAGGGTGACTGTTACCTGAGTGTACCGCCCGACCCAGGTATTGGGACCAGTGAGGCTGCAGCTCTAGGTGCTAGCGCGTCTGCTGCTCTAGGTCCTGGTGAGGCTGCTGCCCTAGGTGCTAGTGCGTCTACGTCTGCTGGTACCGCACCTACTGAGGCACTGCACACCTTCACACTGGACTCACGTGCTTCCCGCGGTTTCTTCCGCGACCGCACTGCCCTAGAGCAGCTTCCTAGACCGGTTGCTGTCTCCCTGGCTGACCCCTCAGGGGGTCCGGTCCTTGCGACCTCCACCACTGCCCTCCCTTGTCCTGCTGTCCCGTCTGGCACACTGTCGGGCCTCTACCTCCCCTCGTTCTCTACGAACTTGGTGGCGGGTTCCGCGCTCCAGGACGCGGGTGTTCACCAGTTCACCCCGGCCTACGAGCGTGTGACGCACTGCACGTGTGCCCGGACGGGTCGTCACCTGGCTACCTTCACTCGGCAGCCGGGGTCGGACTTGTACACACTGACCACTGAGTCCCCTCAGGTAGTTGCGTCTGCGTCTGCGTCTGCGTCAGGTCAGCTGTTGGCCCCCTGCTCGTGTCGCTCCCTGTCACACAGGACTGTCCTCTGGCACCACCGCCTTGGTCACCCGTCAGTGCAGCGCCTTCGCGGCATGCACTCCAGGTACCTTGTCTCTGGTCTTCCCAGAGTCCTCCCTCCCCTGCCACCCTCGCCTGCTCCTCCCTGTCTTCCCTGTGTCGAGGGGCGGCAGCGCGCCGCTCCTCACTCTTCCTCGTTCCCTCCCACAGAGGCTCCCCTGCAGACTCTCCACCTGGACGTGTGGGGCCCCGCCCGCGTCCGGGGACAGGGCCACGAGCGGTACTTTCTGCTGGTCGTCGACGACTACACGCGCTACACCACGGTCTTCCCCTTGCGTACCAAGGGTGAGGTCCCTGATGTCTTGATCCCCTGGATCCACGCTGCTCGTCTCCAGCTCCGCGAGCGGTTCCAGTCGGACTTTCCTGTCCTACGTCTGCACTCTGACAGAGGTGGCGAGTTTTCCTCTGACCTCTTGGCAGCCTACTGTGCGGAGCACGGCATCCGCCAGACGTTCACTCTCCCGGCCTCTCCGCAGCAGAATGGGGTTGCTGAGCGCCGCATTGGTCTTGTCATGGAGGTCGCTCGTACCTCCATGATCCATGCGGCTACCCCCCATTTCCTGTGGCCGTTTGCAGTGCAGTACGCCGCGCATCAGCTCAACCTCTGGCCCCGTGTCTCTGTTCCGGAGACCTCGCCTACCCTGCGTTGGACGGGGGAGGTTGGCGATGCGTCGGTGTTCCGAGTCTGGGGATGTCGAGCCTTTGTCCGCGATACGTCCGCGGACAAGCTCTCCTCCCGTGCCGTTCCCTGTGTCTTCCTTGGCTTTGTCCCTGACGCGCCTGGCTGGCAGTTTTACCACCCCACCTCGCGCCGTGTCTTCGCCTCTCAGGACGTCACCTTTGACGAGTCGGTACCCTTTTACCATCTCTTCCCCTACCGCACTGCCCCGCTCCCCCCCCGCCGCTCTTCCTCACCCCAGGTGTCCCGTCGGTAGACCCCCTCCCTCCCCAGGGTGCTGCTCCCTCAGGTGTTTCCCAGGTAGACCCGGTCGAGCCTGTTGAGGTAGCTGTTGACTCTGGTCCTGCGCGAGGTGCTGAGCGTGCTGAGCCTGGTGGTGCTGGGTCTGGGGGTACTGAGACTGGGGGTGCTGAGCCTGGTGGTGCTGGGTCTGGGGGTACTGAGACTGGGGGTGCTGAGCCTGGGGGTGCGGAGACTGGGGGTGCTGAGTCTGTGGGTGCGGAGACTGCGGGTGGTGAGTCTGGGGGTGCTGCGACTGGGGGTGCTGAGCCTAGAGGAGCTGAGGCTGGAGGCTCTGAGACTGACCGCACTGCGCTTGTTGGCGCTCCCTCTTCACAGCAGCTGCGTGAGTGGTACTCCCAGCGTTACAGCCTCCGTCGTGGGGCTCCTGGAGCTGTGGGGTCTGCTGGAGTTGGGGCTGGTGGCCCTGCGGGTGCAGTGACGCGGCCGGAGCCTCCCTCCCCTCAGCGGCTGCGTGAGTGGTACGCTCGACGCTGCAGCCTCCGGAGTGGAGCTCCTGGTGTTGAGGTACCGCCCGCTGGAGGCCCTACTGCTACTGGAGGTTCTGGAGCTGCTGGAGGTGCTGCTGGTGCTGCTGGAGGTTCTGGAGCAGCTGGAGGTGCTGCTGGTGCTGCTGGAGGTTCTGGAGCTGCTGGAGGTGCTACTGGTGCTGGTTCGGCAGGAGGTTCTGGTGCTGTCTTTGCTGCTTCTGGGGGCACTTCACGGCCACGGCCGTACTTCGTTCCGCACCTTCAGCAGGTTCTTGGTCAGCCGCCTCCTCCTAGTTCTCCTCCCTCCTTAGAGTGTCCTCTGCCTGTCCAGTCGCAGTCACAGCTACCGCCTGCCTCGCCACTTCCTGGTCCTTCACCCTACACTGGTCCGACAGGCGGTCTTACAGAGCGTCGTGAGCCTGAGTCTCGTCCTGTGTCGCCCGTGTCTCGTCCTGTGTCACCTGTTCGTGCTGCTCGCACTGGTCGCCGTGGTCCGCGTGAGCGTCCTCCACCTGTGCCTGGCACACACTATATGACTCTGTGTCCTTCCACTGCTCCATAGCGTGTCCCTCTGCCGTCTCCTCCTGCGTCCTCTCTTCCTGTTCTTGCTGACCCGGAGTCTGACTCTCTTCGTGCTGCCAGTCCTACTGTCACGCGTCTCCTGGCCACTGCTGTCACTGACCCTTCCTTTGAGTCTGCTGCTGCGTCTGCCCTAGTTGCTGAGCTTGTCGACTTTGCTGCTCACTGTCGTCTAGACTACGCCGCCAGTCTTG